GCTCTCACAGCTGCGAAGAGTACCATAGCCTGCTCTGTACGTTGAGTCTGGCCGTCATTAACTTGGTTCTCCGCGTAAAATTATACATTGTAATGAAAGGTAAAGTTATAAAATTATTATAATTTTGTAGTAAATCAGTTTTTATATAATTTTATATAAAATTTAAAGATATAATAAAATAGCATTATGTATATGAATGTACATTTTACTTATTTTTCAAATCCTGTGCATTAATACATATGTTTTGGAATTATGTACATTAATGCGCACAATTTGAAATCATGTGTATGCATAAAACTTCTCTCTAGTAAAAATTACATATGCTATTAGTTTGTAATATCTATAACACAATTCTAATAAAAGGTGATGCCTGGTGTTAGTAACAGCTTGCAGATATTAGAGCTGATAGGATGTTGTCAGCAGAAAAAGAAACCTGTCAAAGACAATTAAAGAGAGAACATTTGATGAACTCTGCACTAAGAGACAATATAAATAAAAATTACTGAACTATTAATTCTGAAACAATACAAGGGGTAAGATACTTAGTAAAAAGAAACATTAAGCATAATCAAATAGAATGCCAATTTTCCTGCCAATGTATAGATTTTAGATTACACAATCTCCTTTGTAAGAATGTATATATCATTGTATTTCACTATTTTTCAACACCCTCTCCAACAAATTCTAAAAATTCACAATCTACTGTTGATTAACAATTATGTTTTAATATTGAGGAGCAACTATCACAAGCTAATTTTAAGGAGTGACCACAATCTGGCATTAATAATTAACTACAAATCAATATTGAGAATCAATCACAATTTAATGCTGCTGAACAATCACAACCTAATACAACAGAACTCCTACAGCAAGCACAACTTACTACTAAAGATCTTATTTCTAACATTCAAAGCCTAACAAAAGCCCTTGATGATCTTAATATTAACTGATTACAAATTGTTTATGACTAATTATCAAGAGTTATTAGTGATGTTCGAAGACAGGAAAGGAATTTTCAGAATGGTGACTAGGTAGGTGAAAACCAGCAAGTAAAATTTCCACCAAATATGAGGTTTAACAAACAACAAAGATAAATTTATGCTATAAAACCAAAAAGCTTCTGACCATACTTATTTTTTATATTATGTAAATAGAAAGATAAATACCAATATATATAATTAAAAAAAAATTTTAAAAAAGTTATGCTTTTGCTCAATAATTGCTTATTATTAGCTCAATTACCTTGCAACTTTTCTAGGTTTAACCTTTAGAGTTACTTAGGTGCAGAATTTTAAAAACATAATCTGCCAAGAGAAATAGTTAAGAATGAACATTAATAAAATTATATTTAAGGTAATTTGTAATCTTGTAAGCTGCAATAGCTACTGCAGAACAAACAAGAATATAGAACAATTAATAAATTATTTCACAAGTTTGATAAAACTTATTTCACTGCCAACTGTCTATAACGATATACTATCAGTTTATAATTTTAGCTTATAATTAAATATCTGATAATCAAAACAACTCTTTCCGCTAATCTTCATAACCAAAATCGGAACAAGAAGAAAGCTATAGAAAACACAACAACTAGCAAGTTAAAGCACTGTTGTCAA